CTCTTTAATTGGTGTTCATTGTAGTGCCTCCCTATATTGGTGGTCAGTGGGGGGGTGGGGGGGAGAGAAGAAGAGCCACTTTACACTGGTAATCAGTGGTAGAAGATGTGTTCCATTAGATTGGTAGTAGGTAGGAAAAACTCTCCTTAAATTGGTGGTTAGTAGAGGGAAGAATGCCTTGTTACATTGGTAATTAGTGGAAGTAAAATGCCCCCTTACATTGGCGGTCAGTGGAAGGAACAATATCTCCTTACACTGGAGGTAAGCAGAGGAAAGAAGGTCACCTTACATTGCTGGTAAGTAGAAAGAAGGATGTCCTCTTACATTAGTGGCCAGTTAAACAAAGAATGCCACCTTACATTGTTGCTCAGTGTAGTTCCTCCTTATATTGGAGGTCAGTGGGAGATAAAGTACTCCATTACATTGGGGATAAGTCGCAGGAAAAGTGTTCCATTACATTGGTGGTCATTGGGAAGAATGGTTCTATAATTGGTGGTCAGTGGAAGCAATAAGTTCTTATAACATTGGGGGCCAGTGGAAGAAAATGTGGTCAATGGATGGAAGAATTCCTCCTTACATTGGTTGTCAATAGAATGAAAATGCCCTTTACATTGGTGATCAGCAGAAGGAAGAATGCCCCCATTACATTGATGGTCAGAGGAAGGAAAATGCCTCCTCACATTGATGGTCAGGGAGAGGAAACATGCCCCTTTACAATGGTGGATGATCAGCGTGATAATTAATAGTCTGACTTCCTACAGTGCAAGCTCAATTTTATTCACAGCTTTGTGTACATAAAAACACCCAATGTGAATGTGTTTTTAGTGGCAACCTAGCAATGGATCTACAGCTCTGTACCACTTATGACCTCTAATACACACTCAATCGCCCATAGACTTACGATCCCCGGTTTTAGTCCTAAAGTAGACAGAATATCCTGGAACATGTTGGTTGTTTTTCTATACACATAATACAGCTAGAAAAAAAACATGTCTTGGACTATTCACTACGGTGCGCCTCAGTCACTGATACAAGTGTCACACTTCCTAAAGGCCAACCACTACAGAGGCTTTCCAAGAGTGCAGCTGACACAGAGAATCCTCCCTGCAACACTTGCATTCATGGAAATATAAGTCTGAATCCGTCCATCTAAGACATCCAGTGGGATCTCACACCCATACATTGGTAGTCAGCAGATGTAGAAATATCCCCTTATGTTGATGGTCAATGGGAGAAGAAGTGGCCCATTCCATTGGTGGTTAGTGATGGTAACCCAAGAACCCAAGGATGATAACCCAAGAACCCAAGGATGTTAACCCAAGAACATCGGTAGGTTAGGAAATCCTACTCTGAGAAATATCTACCATGTTCAATTTTTGAAACACAGCTCGATCCTTAAGCTCTTACCTCTGGACCTCGGTGATAACATTAAACCCACACTGCCCTCTCAGCCGCAGAAAAAAGATACAGTGCTGGGACTGCAAGACTTAGCTGTTAATGGTAGAAAACACAATATTACGTTTGAACCTATTGACTAATTCCTGGCTCATTAAGTCGCAGATCCATTATTTGCTCAGAAAATTACTTCTGGTTATGCAGAGAGGGTTTACTGTGAAATAATGATTTCTAATTACCATAGTTTACTTAGCCTGGAAGTCAGTGAACGCGGTCCCATTCCCTGGGGTATGCGCAGCCTGGGCCTGGAAACATTAACTCCCTTAGATACAAAGAGGAGTCTATAGTCTGAGGCTTTTTTTGGGCTGTACATGACAATGTGATAAGCTGAACCTATATGTATATATATACCTCCTGCTTTTTGCTTAGTTGCGATACACAATGATCATGTACCGTCCTCTCAATGCAAGCCTATGGGTCAGGATTTTCAAAAATGAGATGTCAGCAGTGACACCCTACCAATTTCCTACGCATAACTTTGCTTTATGCACCCTTTGTCAAACTGACTGCTAAGCAGGAAGGCCTTTGTGATAACGACCCCGACCCCCCCATTTTCTCTGGGTTTGCATTAGGAAAGGAACAGACCTGGAGTCCCTTTTGTTTACAAAAATAAAACTCCTGTCACATGGGATGCCTGTAACTTCACATCCAGCTCTGTGCAGGCTTCCTGCAAAAGCTGCAAACACATCACACTACCAGGAAATGACATTTAAAGAAATACTGTCGCTGTCCATTCAGTGGAAACGTGAGTGTCTATGTAAATCCCACCTCCCAACTACTTCATACTTATCTTCCCGGTGCTGCTTTTTCTATGACTATCACTGGAGAATACTCAGTGCTTCCAGGCTGGGAAGGGTGGGGGTTATGGGACCTCCTTCCATGATGCATACTTACAAACTTTATGCTCCCCGGACCCAGGGACATCATTAACCCCGCCCATAGCCTGCATTTTACCCGCCCATTTTATGGATGGGTGCACCCAAATTATGCCGCTTTACAGGTTAGTCCCACCCAGACCCGGTCTCTAAATAGGCAATGACTGCCCAGATCATTGCAATGAATACCTTTTTTGCATATGTGCAGTGACTCAAATTCAGTTGACTCTACGATCCCAGGACATGGTCCGGGACGCATTATCACCGGGACAGAGGGCCAAGATGTAGAACTTTCGCTGCATATCCGGGACATTTGGCACCTATGCACGACGCAGTGCTCAGGTCTAGCGGTGAATTGGCAGAGGGTGACAGTATTGCTCCCTCTGAGCTCTGACATCAGCCATCACCAGGTATTTTCGGCGGTGGCTGCAATGGAAGAAGAAGCAGAGGGAAGTGCTGGAGACAACCAATGTATAGAATATCGTCAGGTTGTGGTATATGGAAATCAGCAACCTTTGGGGGTAGTTTTATAAACCCAAAACAGTTGCAGATTGATTTATACCGCAGCCAGACATGGATATTGCTTTTAGGCATTATTGCCTATTACAATTACTGATATACAGGTGGCCACCAGAGGGAGCAGTGCTCCAACTCAGTGATTCCGCATTGCTCTGTATTGAAGCCAAAGAAAGCCAGGCAACGGTATATGAATTTCCTTTTCAGAAGCAAAGAAAGACCGTTCTATAATGTGCAATGCCCTGTAAATGCTTGCCACATATATCGTTACCCAAATTGCTGAGATCAAACAATGCCTATCTATATGGGGCCCCAGACATTGCCCTGCTCTGCAAAGACTCAATTGCAAACAGATTTTAGGGCTCAGTCCTGCACAGTTGTACAAGCCCCTCTCCTAAATTAAAATTGCTTACTCTTTTTTTTATTTTTTACTATATGCAGGAAAAAGGCCAAGCACTCTGACACACAGCATTTCTTGAGGCCTACCTAAAAATGCCCCCAAAATGGTTTCATTTAGGGCATAGCAGTGCAGCAGTCAGAGTGCCGGGGTCAGTACTATGTAATGCACAGCACAGCCTGCAGATTTCAGTGGCCAGGAGTTAGTGCCCCCCTCAATGTTGGTGGTCAACGGTGTGTGTCCCTTTAAATGTTGGTAATCAAAAGTAAGTGCTCCATTACTGTTGGTGACCAATGGTATGTGCCCCCTTAAATGTTGGTGACGAATGCTATGTGCCTCCTTAAATGTTGGTGGTCAATGGTATGTGCCTCTTTTAATGTTGGTGGTCAGTAGTTAGTGCCAAATACGTGTTAGTGGCCAGTGGTGTGTTTCCCCTAAAGCGTTGTTGGTCAATGGTGTGTGTTCCTTTAAATGTTGGTAATCAGAAGTAAGTGCTCTATAGCCTTTGGCGGCCAGTGGTGTATGACCCCTTAAATCAGGGGTAGCAAAACTCCGGCCCACCAGGTGTGGTGAAACTACAAATCCCATGATGCATCTCTCTTCGGGAGTCATGCCTGTGGCTGTGAGAATCTTGCAATGCCTCATGGGATTTGTAGTTCCACCACAGCTGGAGGGCCACCCCTGCCTTAAATGTTGGTGGCCAATGGTGTGTGTACCTTTTTAAATGTTGGTGATCCAAGGTAAATGCCCCATAACTGATGTTGACCAATGGTATGTGCACCCATAAATGTTGGTGATCAATATTAAATGCCCCCAAACAGTTGGTGGTTAGTGGTATGTACCCCCATAAAAGGTGGTGGTCAATAGTGTGTGCCCCCCTTAAATTCTGCTGGTGGTCAATGGTGTTTGCCCCTTTATATGGCAGGTGATCAGTAGTAAGTGCCGTACAACTGTTGCTGGCCAGTGGTGTTTCCCCCATACGTTTGCTGATCAGTGTGTCCCCTTTATTGTCCACATGCCCAGTGTACCGCTCTGCTGCTCAAGCTGTACTGTAGGCACATCTAAAAACATGCAAGCTGTATAAAAATGTGACATGATATCTGCCTATTGCAGTCCCTGTACAGCACAGTACGGCATTTACACAGCGATCGGCACCTGGAGCTCCGGCAGTTCCCTGCACACGGCGCCGAGCCTATTCATAAAACACTCTGACACTCCATAAACATGCCAGTCAGGGATAAGTTATGACGCCGTCTCCTCATCTTCACTCCCCTAATTAGCTCTACTTATTTATGCCGCTTTTATCAACTTATTACAGCTGTTAAAGTCGGCGGCGGGGAGAAGCGTCTTTTAGCAAAATTTCGCCTTAAACCGGTAAAAAGTAAATGACCTGAGAAGGGTTTTATTACGACAAACTGTCAAACGTTTTCCGGTGACTTTTCCCGCACATGGAAAAACTTTTCGTAAAAGTTTGTTTCCTTCTGTTACAAGTATTTTGTTTTATTGATACATTTGATGTACCAAAGTTAAAGCCCCGGCCTAATATCAGACGGGTCGGGGAAGAGATAGAACCTCTGACAGATGTCTGTTCCCCTATTGGGGAGATTTCCCTTCACTTCCTGTAATGTATCCAATTGGGGTTAGACTTTTGACATTGTATTAATTGTTCTCTGAGCTTTCTTGCCCCATTTCTTGTCTTGTGTGTGTATGTATGTGTCTGCAGGTGTGGGGGGTTGATGACCCTTTAATAGACATTATCAAGGACTAGGGTAGCCACCTGTTCGGGATTCACCCTGACAGTCTGGTTTTTGAGTCTTGTCTCCGGGTTTCCAGCCAGTTGACACCCGGACACAAGACACTAAGTGCCCATACCGGCACTTTACGTTTTTTAATGGATGCAGCTGCCAAGGTCCCCAGCAAGCGTGGGACCTCAGGCAGCCTGAAGCCGCATCTTCCTGAGAACCGCGGACACTTGTAAACAGGCGCATCTCTTCCACTGTCTCTTCTGACACAACGCTGCCTGCCCACCTGAGAGCCCGCACAGCCCACCTGAGAGCTCACACAGCCCACCTGAGAGCTCGCACAGCCCACCTGAGAGCCCGCACAGCCCACCTGAGAGCCCGCACAGCCCACCTGAGAGCCCACACAGCCCACCTGAGAGCCCACAGAGTCCACCTGAGAACCCACAGAGTCCACCTGAGAGCCCGCAGAGCCCAACTGAGAGCCCCCACCTCCTCCTGAGAGCCGGCACAGCCCACCTGAGAGCCCACCTGAGAACCCACAGAGTCCACCTGAGAGCCCGCACAGCCCACCTGAGAGCCCACAGTGTCCACGTGAGAGCCCGCACAGCCCACCTGAGAGCACACCGTGTCCACCTGAGAGCCCGCACAGCCCACCTGAGAGCACACAGTGTCCACCTGAGAGCCGCACAGCCCACCTGAGAGCACACAGAGTCCACCTGAGAGCCCGCACAGGCCACCTGAGATCCTGGAGACATCAAGGGCGCCACCCCAGAAAAAAACAGAGAATGTAGTTTCATATTATATTGTATTGCTGTATAATGTATTGCTGGGATTTGTAGTCCTCTATAGACTGTCTCCTTACTCTCTCCCCTGGCTGTCTCTCTATCCTCTTTCTCCTGGTTGCCACTCCCCGTGCGGCGCTAGAGTGTTCAGGTTTCTCTTGAAGAAAAGGTGGCAACCCTTTCAAGGACCCATCTTTAGCTTCATCTGGCCTTTGCGTCCAGAAAACGCAGTTCGGTTCTCCAATGATGCACACCGCTCCGAGCCACATAAAGGGAAGGAAACCGGCGCAAGTCTCCGCGACGGGTTAAGCAATACCGCAGCGTCTCATCTGCTTTGAAAAGCCTTTCAGTCCAGTACACTTAACACCGAGTCCCCGGTACTCAATCTCCCCGACCCATGTCTATTAACAGCATAGAAAGTGTCTGATTGTAATAGGGCCGCGCGCGGCCTCCCCGCCGAGCGAGCCGAATCAGTCATGATAAAGGGGACCTGTCCAACCCCCCCACCTACCTTGGCTCCTCTGCAAATCCACAATTATCCCCAGCGACGCTGCGGTAATTGAAGGCATGTGTGATCAATGCTTCGGCCATTCTCAGCCTGCCGTTATCTACAAGAAAACATGTGTTTGTTTACAGAGGATATTGAAGAAAGTCGATCAGCTCTCTCTCCCCGTCTCAAATTCATTGCAAGTCGCTATTCTGCTCTGCGGAGCTGGGAGCCGCATTGGTTCATGGAAGCTTTAATAACTCTAAAGTAATATTAAAGGCCGATCGATCGAGGTTACAATTGATCATTTATTGGTAATGTAATATAATGTCAGGGGTGGCATTAGTGCTGGGCTTTCTGGTGATGACAGGAGTTATCCCAGCATCCCCAAGCATCCCCAAAGCACCCTTTTTTTGGCAGCTGGATTTGTCATTGACTGCACTGCCCCCACTTCATAACTTCACAGTACAAGCCGCTGGAGAGCATAGTTAGGGCTTGCTAGAGAGTATAGGTACGACTTAAGGGAGAGGATAGGTATGGCTTGCTTTAAAACAAGCCATATTAGCCATCCTTGTAAAGAGCCCAGGGGAGAAGGGGTTGCAGGGACCGGCCTAGCAACCAGTGGCATGCGGTACCTCTTGTTCCAGGTGAGGCATTCCCCAGCCTCGCCCCACGCATGCCCCGCCCCCGCCGACCGAAGCATTGCCCCGATGACCGAGGCCCCACCCCCTGCCTGAAGAAGCCCCACCCCAACCCGTCCCCAAGCTAGTGTATAGGTGGAAGGGAGGAGCCTCCCTGTCCCTCACTTGCTCCTCACGGTTGAGGATTTCCCTGCTGTGTAACCACATTCCACCGCCGAAAAACTGGGCGAGATTACGTCAAAATGTGTGATCACGTCATCGGTCACACATTCCACCGATGTAAAATTGGGTGGGATTACGACAAAATGTGTGACCACGTCACCGGTCCCACATTCTAACGTAGTCCCAAATTTTGATAGAACACAGGAGCACAAACCAGTTGTCACCCCATAACAGGAAGTGTCTAAACGGGGACTTTCATAGCAGGATCGTTTTTTTTGTTCCTGTATTTGAAGCTGAAGAGTTTGAAAACAACTTCTTCTGAAATCACATGATAAAGCTTATATAAGATTTCAGTGATTGGGTTTACATCTACTTTACTTTTAATGAATGCATAGATAGCTGCACTGGAAATGTTTTCGCCCCGGGATTTAAGCTTCAGGAACCCCCGTAGTCAGACGTCGGCTTTATTACACTAGCTGCTATTCGCATATGTCTAGACTAGGTAGTCTTCGCCACGGTCGAATTACCTACCTGAGCTTCCCGAAGACTTGTTAAGGGCCCCGCGCAGCGCTTATAATGAGATTAAAACAAATGATCAGCATAAAACAGCTTGACAAGGGGCTAAATTTAATTTGGACCGTGTTTGTTGATAACGAGAGGTAGTGCTGGCAGCGGCGGGCTTCATACCGCTATTGCGACGGTTACGGTGAGGATGCGCCATGCATGTTTGATAGCCGCAAATTTCATTAGAAGACGTAATAATCTTATTAGCCCTGTTTTGTGATGCTTGCGTCCCACCGAACAAGATCATTTTTATTTCCTGACATCAGGGAGGCTGTGCTGATGTGTTTATCTGTAATCTTGAGTCCGATGATGGAGATTACAATGAGCGAGAGATATGGAGGCCTTGAGGCCATGGTACTGAGCCTACATCAGCACTCAAGGACTTGGAACGGGTTGGTGATGGCAATACATTTCTCAGTTTCTGTTAAAGAATTTATGTTTACCAACATCACTTCACCGTGTTATTTTCCACAGGCTTTTAAATGTATCCGCTTAAAGGGCACCAGCTATGGCCATATGGCTGTAGATCTTATGCCCAACTCCCCCCCCCCCCCTCCAAAATGGTGGCTCCTGCCCATTCTTGATATGCTCCTTAATATTTACAGATGGCACCCAACATTTGAGGTTTTCTCTGGTTGTTGTCAATGGAGATAGCTCCTAAAAAGACTCCTGGCTACTGGATTAGACAGAGTGGCTACTAGATTGGGCAGACTAGCTCTTGGATTGGACAGACTGGCTCTTGACTGTCTCCTGGATTGGGCGGAGTGGCTTCTGGATTGGGTAGACTGGCTCTTGGATTGGACAGACTGGCTTTTGGATTGGACAGACTGGCTCCTGGATTGGACAGACTGGATCCTGAATTGGGCAGAGTGGCTTCTGGATTGGACAGACTGGCTCTTGGATTGGACAGACTGGCTCCTGGATTGGACAGAGTGGCTTCTGGATTGGGTAGACTGGCTCTTGGATTGGAAAGACTGGCTCTTGGATTGGACAGACTGGCTCCTGGATTGGACAGACTGGCCCATGAATTGGGCAGAGTGGCTTCTGGATTGGGTAGACTGGCTCTTGGATTGGAAAGACTGGCTCCTGAATTCCATATTAATTTGTCCACCCCTGGTTTAGGAGATAGGCAGTTAGAGTTGACATCTCTGATAATGTTAAGGGCATGCTAAAAGAGCAGGGACACCCCTGGCCACCAAGAATGAGATGTGCTAGGGCTTGTAGCCTTCAATAACAAAAAGCAAGGGAAGCGCTTGTAAAATGTGATTAATGTCTCTTTAGGGTTAGGGATCCTAGTCTACCTAGTCTAGTCACTTTTTAGCCAGTCTGGGCTGACCTTCCTGCCTCCTGCAGGGTATCAACACTAGGGGTGGAGCTGCAAAAAGTGATTGGTTTGTGTGGGAAGAACAAAGCTATGAGCTGTGAAAACATCTAGGATTAGATTCCCCTCAGTGTTCCTCAGACCTGGGATAATTCCAATATCAGGACATTATTAGTTCATAATGTGCAGCTTATGACTAAGGACTTATCGCAGGTTTCAGTTATAAAAGAAACCATCATGTGGACCCTGTAAAACATTGTATTCATTTTAGTAAAGAAAAAAAAGAAGAGCATGCTCCTAACATGCTTCTGGCATTCCGTTACTGGACGAACTGTCATGAGTGTGATGCCGTGAGTGGTGTAAAGGAAATATGCGTCCTCGTCATTTTAGGGTTAGTAATACAGCAACAGCAGACAATCTGACTTCTTCCTGTGACCCATGGGGTGTAGGACAGGACACTGAGGAGTAGAACCTGAAACAGATGACCCAACTAAGCCTCCCAGGGACTAGAAGGTCAATGTTGTTGTGGGCCACGCTCCAAGCATTGTAGCCCAAACTACAGGAAGAGGTGACCCAACCCCTCAACCCACATGCTGCAGTAGGCCCCCTGGAGGAGGATGGACGGCCACAAGTGCCACCAGAAGGCACTACTACTTCCTCTTCTTTATCTCTTCACCTTTCTATTTATTATACACCCAGGGCTGGATTTCCCACAAGGCCAACCGATGCCAGGCCTTGGGGTAGTAGGGAGTAGAGGGGGAGCAGGGGTGTTGAATTCCTATCTCCTGAAGCCCTGGACATGCAGTTCCGGGTGCCGGGCAAGTAGTTGTTTTCTACATTTAGCCCTACTTTGGGCAAGCAGAGCTAAATGTACAGCCGGGAAGCCCCCGCTTGTTTTGTACAAGTGATTTCGGCGATGTCGTCGAGATCACTTGTATGCAGCCTGCATACAAGTGGGGGGGGGAGGGAACCTGGCATTGGGGCAGCAGAGAAAGCAAATCCGGCCCTTTGTACACCCTCTCTACTACACCCTATAGAACTCAACTGTTAGTGTGCTGACCTTTGGCTAAACATTGGCCATGGCCCATGGGTGTGTATGGTTGTCACAATACATTTGATTGTATCTGGACTGTACGATGCTAATTAGAGCGTAGGGAAGGAAGGGGCAAGAAGTGGTACTTGCTTGGTGTCTGAACAATTCCTTATACCTTATACCTGTGTTCTTCCACTGAGGAATTAACCAGAAATGTCTCTTATCTCCCTTCCCACCTCATATGTAAAAACTACAACATTATAGATGTGCCGTTTACTTTTCCAGGACAATGAGCAGATGGGGATAAATGGGCCTAATTTCATTCTACAACAAATGCGTCTCTGTTTGTTTGTTTCCATGTTTTGTCTTTCCGCCTCCTGCAGCCTGTTAGTGTGCCGGCTCAGCGTATAAATTCACGTCTTCTCCGCTAATAAATGCTTTAGGTTTATGCTGACCGTAGAGATTTTCTTCTTATGAAACGATCACAAAATTATTATTTTTGTAGTTGTTGCTGCTGGAGGGAAAACTGGAAGGAATTTAGATTATTATGCAGGGTGCACACTGGTATACTATAATTACTTCTGCCATCCCCCAAAATAAGCTAATTTCAGTATTCTGGGGTAAAACACTCGGGGAAATATAAGTATAACTCTTAGGGAAACAGGGTCAGAAAAAAAACAAAAATGTACTTAAGCTGTGGGTGTCGACTAATCATGACCAATAGTTTCCATAACCCAATTAGAATGGTCACCTGTGGGAATAATGGTTGCTCATCAAGCATCCTAGTAGTGGGACAGGACTGTTGCGGTAGTGGGAAAATCTACACTTCCTGTCTTTTATAGGGGCAGCATTTACCCACAATGTAGCCTTTCACTGCAAATGTACACTAGATGTGTCTAAGGCGCCAGATCCAGAAAACCAACCGTCCTTCTTTCCTTCTGACTGATAGCTTCTATAATCCGACCAGACTGGAAAGGGTCAATCACAAGTTGGGTCCATGGTTGCTGACCAATCACTTGGCAGTGACACAACAGTGTTGCAATAGTAGGAGGATCTGTACTGCCTGTTCTTTATTAATAGGAGGATCTGCACTGCCTGTTCTTTAATAGTAGGAGGATCTGCACCGCCTGTTCTTTAATAGTAAGACGACCATACACTGCCTGGTCTTAAATAGTAGGAGGATCTGCACTGCCAGGTCTTTAATATTAGGAGGACCTGTACTGCCTGGTCTTTAGTAGTAGTAGGATTTGCACTGCCTGGTCTTTATTAGTAGTAGGATTTGCACTGCCTGTTCTTTAATAGTAGTAGGATCTGCACTGCCTGGTCTTTATTAGTAGGAGGATCTGCACTGCCTGGTCTTTAGTAGTAGTAGGATCTGCACTGCCTGGTCTTTAATAGTT